CGGGAACACAAGGTGAGCCCTCAGCAACCCCACGCTTATCGGAGTACCCCCTCCGTTAGTCGGCAGTCCAGGGCACTGTGTGTCCGAGTGGATCGCAACGTTATTTTGTGACTACCACTCCACCACACCCGTCTGGCGAATGTCCTGCGCAGATCAGGGGACGACATTATGGCCATGGAAGAAGCGGCGATCACGATAACAGGGGATCCACTCCGTTCGAGGAATTTGGGAAGGCGGCAGGTCCGCTAGCTCATCGTTGGAAAGAGGGCCGGATGGCGGTCCAAACCGATCCCGATTGCGACTCTCCGGAGTCGTCGAGTCGCTGCCGCTCTTGGCGGTATCCGAATCAAGAACGCGGGTAGAGCTGGATCTGCTGGAGGGACTATCGCCGCCGTGAGAAGGTTCACCCGACGCTGCTGAATGAAGAAGGACCAGCAGAGCGGCAGTGCGCTGGGAGGAGCTCTGTCGACAGAAACGAAGAGGAAGATCTTCTTGAAGTGAAACCTCAACCCTCTCCCTATGCCTCCTCAGGAGGCACCGCGGATCGCGATGTGAATCATGATCCGCCCCGGTGAGGAACCTAAGGTGAAAACCGAAGAAACCCCACCAACCACCGCTCCGTTAACGCAAAAATCCTCGAAGAAGAAGAAGTCGAAAGCTTGGCGGAAGAAGCTCAAGGCACCAGCACACTCGGACGCCGATAGTCGTGACGAGATCGCAGCGACTTGGTCTGACGATCAGCTGGAAGAAGCGTACAACCGGAATGAGCTCCAAGCGTTCTTAGTCACGAACCCAGTGATGAAGATCGTACAGCTGCGGATGCCTGGGTCACTAAAGGGACCGGTGACACCGCCATCAGTGACGACGCACAAGCTGGACGCTGTGAAGGCTGTGTTGAGTCTGCTGATGGACGCCGGTATCACGCCAGGCTCCTTTGCAGCGAAGGATTGTTTCATCTAGACCTTGAAGCGATCCAGAACACGATGTCGGAGCTCTCCGAGAAGCTGAAGGCGCTGGTTGGAGAGTCGGAGCCTCAGACAAAGGTCGAGACCAAGCTGGAAGCCGCGCCGACCCAGCTCCCTGGATCGGTTTCGCCGACTGGATCGTCCCAACACTCGCACTACTCGTCAGCGACCTTGTTGACCGACTCGGACAGTTCGGAAGGAGTTGAGCGAAAGCAGCTCGGCCCTTCAGGAGCTGCGACGCTGCAAACAAGATCGCAGCGTGTGTCGAACGTGACGTCCAAGACGAACGCTCCTGCGGCAGCCAGAAGATCGAACGAAAATCCAGACTGACTGCAGACGTTCTTCAACTCGGCGATGGAACGCTTCCTGAAGGAGCAACGTGCCGCACAGGGGACGCCAACAG